ACAATCAATACATCAAATGTTGTGGATTCTGCCATGTCGAACTACCCTTGAAGAACTGTAGGACTTACAGCAGTACGCCTACAACCCTTCTCAGGTTGACGCCCTAGGTTGGAAAATCGTCGCAGAGTTCATTTGCTGACTTCTTTCTATCATCTATATCCTCAAATCTGAATGGCAACGCGCTCATGTCATTGTATCGTAGAATATAGATGACGAACAAACATACGACGTATCTGATCAACCAAGCGTAGGCGCAGAGTAATTTACACCAAAGATAATAGCATTCAAATAGTAACTTGGAACTTGAAATGCCTTTATTCGTGTAAGTCAGTTTAACAATTACTCTCTCGTTTACACTTGGCTTATCCTCACTAAACTGACCATTGATATTCGTCCTTTCAAACGAACTGATACTATCAAAGTCATTGCACAAGATACTTGAGTTGATGGGCGTCTTCTTCGTTGTGGATGACAACAACAACGACGACTGATTGATACCAGTTGATGAAGTTAGCGGTGGATCAGAAGCTGTTGTTGCTTGGCTTTCAGAAAGCTGTCTAACTGCAAGACCGCCGCCACTGCTGTCTTTTACAATCAGCTCGGGTTTAGCACTAGCATCTGATGATAGGTGGGCTACACGCTGATCAATCACACTGACGATCTCACAAGTATGCATGCCTTCTGCAACTGCATCTGCATTTAATTCTACTTCACGTTCAAGTTGTACAAAACCTTGGTTCAACTTAGCAGTAGTAGGCATTCCCCTCATCTCATCGTGATCAACCAAAGACATATGTGCACGATCGTGATCATTATCACGAATATTCACTTTACCGTCAATTTCATCATTTTCAAACTCTTTAATAACAGAAGTAGACAACTTTGGTTCTTCCTCACAAATCCTTAGAGGTTTTATACCTTCACTCTGACTAGTAATACCTTGTAAACTTGCGGAGTCGGAACTGTCCTCTGAGAATGTGACTCTATTCTGTGACACTCTATTCAACAATGGCTTACCAGTTGCAACTACAGGCTTATTGACCGCACCATTATCGTCACACAATTCGGAGTAAGACCTTGATTTCACATTTAGCTTATCACTAAACTTGCTCAATGATTCACAGCTCACCTTTTTATGCACCTCTTGCAAACGTGTAAAACACAACCGTGTTTGTCTTGCATCTTGTAATTTATCTGTTGACGATGTACTACGAAACCTGTTACACTCACTAAGTCTATATGCATTACTAGACACCATAGGACCTTCTCGATATCCACCTCTCTGAGACCCTTTCGTCATCAATGATTGCGTTTTGCCTTCAGACTGCTCTATTCTAGGGGTGAGATGTAATATACTGGCAAAATTGCTCATAGATTGATTGACACTATCCTTTACCAGTTTCAGAATATCATCAAACTTTGGCTCGATACCCTCATCCTCCATACGGGAGCTTATCTTCACTCACTTCCTTTGCAGTCGAGTAGGTAGGCGTCTCGCTATTACTTCTAGGATAAAACTCGAGTTGAGGTCACTCATGCAATTCATCGAAATCAATGCATTCTTGTAAGTCAACAGATTATCCAAAAACTCAGTGAGTGCCTTGGAGTCATCTTGTAATTGACCACTGTTACCCTTTTCAGCCTCGAATAATTTCCCTACAATCATCGAAGGTCTTCCAAACCTTCGACGCAGTATGCTCGAAGCCCCATAGTACCCCTCGTTTGGCTTCACAAACTCACAGTACTGTATAGCTCTTGAAGCAACTCCAGTGCAATACCTCATCAAATACATTAACTTCAATTCATCACTTAATGGAAAACTACTCAGCATGATCTCAAACTCCCTTACAAATTGTAAATAATCAGCTGGGTCTCCGTCGAAACAGTGTGGTTCAAATTTAGGGAGTTTGATATTCCTATTATCCCTAGACGGCGAAACAGTAACATCAACCATGTCATGCTTAACATCAGACACATCGTTACAAGTAACAGACAAGTCAACATGACTTACTTTCCTGTTTGCATCCAAGACGCTCTGTCCCTTCTTTGACCCAGGCATTACTGAACGTAAACAAAGTTCCAGAACCTTCTAGATAACGCTTGTTCAAAGAAGACTTGGCCGGCACCAGGAAAGACGGACGGAGACTATCCAAACGTCAGAAACTGTCATTCACGTTTCAAAAACCGTTAACGCCCAGCTCTTGCTACGCCGGGCCTCTCGCTGTCCCTCGAAGCCTTTCAGAAACGCCTACTACTAACGGATGCAAAAACCAAAACGCCGATTGGCGACTCGAGAATTCTTTATTCTAACACCAACATGTGAGCAGCATAATAACTAAGGTCTATGAACAAATATTACGATAATAAATCACGGTATTACTTCTGATGGTTTTGTACGTGCTTTCTGAACAGCCATTGATGAGACGATGACCGGTGTATTGATGCCTCCACGAAAATATAGGGAAGTTGGGTTTGAGCAAACAACCACGAATTGATCGTTCAATCTTCAGCTTCATTTACAACGACAGTTCTTAAACCGAACTGCACTTCACAGTACAATGTGTCAATATAATCCTTATTATTCTGAATATAATGAACTTACTTCGGGAAGATTATGATCTCGTAGCAGATTATCCCTCATCAACCAACGTTCTCTTTGAGCAGAAAAATCGGCCTGAGATATATTATGGTAATAGTTCGGTAGACGCCATTTTTATAGATGCTAGCGGGGGTCTATATGAGTCTTCTGATTCATATATTTTTCAAGGTTATGTAATCGGGAAATCTCTAAAATGGTAAGACAGCACACACCGAAATGTACTAGGCTTCGAGAACAGACTAAAATCCAGGAGATTCTCCTTATCATGGCAGCCGGTGAAGGGTCGGGTACCTGGGGATAAAGTTCTATTCTGTTTCCTCCTTTAATTGTATGTAAATGAGTCTGACAATCAAAAATCCCGTCTGATATTCGCCGGTGGTATTAAACTCTAGAGAAGACTGCAAAGCAGACATAAGAGAAGGTATCATAAGTGGGTGCTAAGTTGATCAAGGGACACTCAAATCCCTTATATAAACAGGAAGTCAACCTAATGGACTAATTCTTAATTTCATACCAGTAACGAGAGTACAACCACATATTATTATCCAACATCTTATTTTATCATATAAATCCAAAATAATTTCGAATACTTCTGCCACTTGAGTGCACACAAACTTAAAGTTTAGAAACTATGCTGTAATAGCATATGTCTAAGGATTATTGTCAATATAGTTGAAGATTGAACGATCGATTCATGGTTGTTTGCTCAAACCCAACTCCTCCATATTTTTCGCGGGAGTCATCAATCCAGCAGTCATCGTCTCATCGTTCGCTGTTCAGTGGAAGATGGAAAACTATCAGAAAACTTGTGTGTTATAACCTCATTGTTGGTTACATATTGGCGTAGGAATAAAGGATTCTCGAGTCGCCAATCTGTGTTCTGGTTATTCGCGTTGGTTATTACAAATTGTTCCTGAAAGCCTTCCAGGAACAGCGTGAGGTCCAGCGCGGTAAGAGCCGGACGTTGACAGTTTCTGAGAGTTGGCTGGCAATTATTTTGTCCAATATAATTGTGGATCATTCGGATTTTATACCATGGCATGTCATCCTGGCCCCTGTTGATGCAGTTAAAACAGTTTGGGCTGTTTATATTTCTAAAAATCCAAACTATTTATTTGAGCCTAAAACCTACTATCAACAAAGATCTGTAAAATGTAAACTAAATTGACTCTACCCTGCGTAAAGAAAGCCTGTCTTGCACAACATCGAGGCTCAAATTCTTTTTTCCTTCACATTCCCAGTGGAACATAGGGCTTCAAGCTAGTGGCTTGAAGGTTCTGTACTAATGTTTATTTTTACAGGATGGGGTTTCTAGTCTCATGCCCAACCTTTCCTCTTTACCAGCATTATTTCTGGGTTAGCGAGGTAAAGGAGTGCGTCCAGTGGCCGAGGATCGAACCTCGGACCATGTGCATGATCGGCGAGCGTCCAAACCGCTGTTCCACCGACGCGGGGCTCCACTTAGTTCTAGTTATTACAGAAAAATGGATACAAGCGTGAATTACGCGGGTGATGTAGAGAGGACATGTACGTTATACAATTTACGCAGACACAATTAGGTGCACTCACTCCTGAGTTGTTTCTGATGTACAAAATATACGAAAGACCATACTTAGAAGTAAACAATATAATTTCCCCTAAGTAGCTTAGAAGAAACACTCACCTCCTAGAAAGAGTTCTCAGTGCGCGACAAAAGGAGTGGTGGGTCTAAGAAATTAACCATATGGTGAACGCATGTGCAAATTAGGTCTTTCTACACTTAGCTAAAATCGGCTTAGGGGTGACTTAATCATTGCCTATAAGACTAAAGATGGCCAGAATCACTTAAACAGAAGTGTTCTGCCATTAAATAGTTATTGGTTCCCGCTGGGATAGCTCACCAGAGAGTAAACATTCGAGTGCCCTTGTGTTTCTTCTCACTTTGAGTTTGCTGCACCTGAAACTCCCTGCCGGCAGATATGGCTACTGCACCCTCTTTGAAAAGCTTTGAGCGGAGACTAAGCAGTCATGCTGAGACACAAGGACGGAGGCCAAACGGCCAATCCCTTTAAAACTCATGCACTATAAGTGGGTAAACACCAATACCCATCTTTTCACTTCTTCTCACTCTTCGTCGTCTTACTCTTCTGATCACTGCAAATACTTATTAATTTGTATTAATAATATTCACGTATGCATATATCCACTTCGTATCTCAATAGGAATTTTTTTTACGTTTTCTCTCTTTTTTTCTTAAGTCCACATAATCTAAACTAATTAAAACTATTATTGTCATTGTCATTATTGCTATCTCCCTATGAATACATTGAATGGGTGAAAAGATCGAATTCGTTCACAGTAGTGACATTATCTTAATACACTAATTGAAACAAACCATATATAATTAATCCGATCACCACTTCTTTTGCGGACAACCGAAGGTACAGAATTCGAACTGCAGGACGAACTAAGAAGAATTTCACCGAAGATTAAGAATCTATACAGTTAAACTACGAAGTGAGCACAAAGAAATTAAATTGATTTACACTAACTTGTAAAAACTATATTGGATATTGGATCCGAAGCGCGTATATCAACCTCAAGGTCATAAATTTGGAATTGATTGTAAATCGAGTGGTGTTTAACTGTAAAGTAAGTAGTCATATGATTGTTTTCCCTGTCTCATGAGAATTTTCTTGGAAGTGCATACTTCGTACCAAAGGTGCAGAGGCTGGTCTATATGTCACAATTAGGCAAACATTTGACATAATGTATATATACTTTAAATTCAAAACTTACGCAGACAGAATCATCTATCCATCGTGCTGCTCTATGCTCATTCCATCCGAAAATTTCTGTGTGCATTTCGGAATAATATCGATATTTCGTTGCACTTCCCGTAAAATATATCGTACGATTGATCGTCCAAATTACGAGATATATTTCGGGACCAAATCGGAGTTCGAAATGATTGCTTTGCTAACTAGGGATCGTGCACGAACGAACGGACGTGTCACCACGGAATACCAAAGGGCGTGGATGCTTGACCGGAAGTCTTTCTGTCTGTTTTCGATATAGAACTATGCTCCTATGTACGGCAGTTCAAGTCGCCACACTCCCTCCTTGTAGCACACAAAGCAAGAGAGGAAAGTAAAATGAAATGCAAAACAAAGACAGTAAACAGAGATATGAGGCAAAAGAGTAGTAATATCGAAGAACAATATAGTTTCACTGGAAATTATAAGTCACAAGAAGTGGATGCATCTGCGCCAGCCATTGAGAACGATCACTTTGAGCCATATCACCGATTGTCTCCAGCCTTCATTGGTTTTTACCGTCCCCAACACCCCAACCAGTCAGTCAGGCAGTCTACACCTTCCTACTTGGCTGACTTAAACTGACTGTTGTGAATTTCATTGACTGATGAAGCCATGTTTTGGCTTGACGGCCTCTAGCTCTTTTCCAGCCTAACCCTATGTCAGCTAACATTGCTCGTCGACGAAGGTGATGACTAGGGATGCATACTTAACAAGTCCTAACCATTTCATTCGATGTAGCTTCACAGCCTCGTCTATTGATTTCCCCTCCATACTTAGCACCCGACCGACTGCCTAACCTCAACATTGCTTACCCTACTATACCACTTCACACGAACGATAGAATGCAGGCACCTATGATCAAAGACAGCTAGCTAGCCGGGCTTTCCATGTCTTCCACTCTCTATGGCCAAGTCTCACAGACATAAAGGAAGGAGAGGACTGCTGAGCAGTACACACACCCTTTGGTCGACAGTCAGCCGGATATCACATCTACTAAGCCAGAGACGGCGTATACTGGCATATGCGAAACTAGCCCTCCTTGACCGGGAAGCCTTCAGCTAAACAAGTTGACTTAAACATTGAGGATTAGCATCCAATGTTCAATGATGAGTGCTGTGACTAATAATTTTTGGGAATTATTTACATCTACAAGTAGTGCAAAAGACTCAAGCAAATGCAATTTGTTACTAATATGTTACACTTAATGACATATGTTTCGTCAAAGTTGTGTGACTGGTAGATCCTAATATCTGTTGAATACAAGAGTTTATTGAAAAACGATCTAGATTTATGACTGATGTGTCGGTGTAGGACTTCGCAAGAAACATGCAGCAGTTCGAGTTGCCAATCCCCATGTAGCACATAAAGCAAAAAAAAAACGCTAAGATGGATTCGAAAGACAGATAATAAACAGAAGTGTGAGTGAGGGAAAAATAATATTAATATGGAAGAACAATAGAGTTTAAGTTGGATATGACAAATCACAAACAGCGAATGCATCTGCGCAAACTATTGAGAACAAGGCTTTTTAACCATATCACCAATTGTCTCCAGCCGCCATTGGTTCTTACCATCCCAAGGACCACAATCATGGAGGCAATCTACACCTCCCCACATGACTGGCTGACTTAAACTAACTGTTATGGATTTCACTGACTGATGAAGCCATATTTTGGTTTGACCACCACTAGCTGTTTTCTAACCTGATCCATCATATGTCAGCTAACATTCCTCGACGAAGAAGACGATGACTAGATATGCGTAACGTAGGTTTATTATAAGCACGGAATCAGTGTCTTTTTTGTCACTGATGTTCTCTTGAACTACTCATGGATTTGTGCCTAGCATAACAAAATTACTTAGTAGTATTACTCTTTACTGAGCTTCTAAAAGTTAAGCTTTTCACTTTTTTTCAACAAGTTATATCCTGTGAGGGAATTGAATCATAGGTGTGAATGCATAAAATAATAATAATCATATGAAGTTCAATTAAAACTAAAATGTTTGTGATTATAATCGTAGTTAAATGTCAAGTGGCAAAGCAGATTAATGTCATATATAGAATAATTCATAGGAGGGATAGAACTTGAAAAAGGATGTGCAATTATAGGATTAGTAGGCAAATCGAATAAAACAAAAACGTTACGTAATATTGTGTGAAATTTAATAGCATAGAATTTATCGTTGTAAAAAACAATTGATTTAGAATGACAAGTGGAACAAGTGAAATAATACCGGGGACAGTTCAAAGTGAGAATAGTAATAATAACAATTGACTTAATAAGGAAGAGTATACAAATTGAATAGACAAAATGAAAAATGAAAAATTGGTAGAGCTAAAATATGATTGGGGATTACCATATTTTAGCATAGAGGGATTAAGACCATGAAAGTTGGAGGGGTTGAACGAACTTTTTCTGTACACAGAGATCTGGCTTTTCTGTTTCGATAGCCAAAGCTTCAGCAATACAGATGAGTCGGGTACGTAGGGATTTAGGTAGATTGCTCTTTGCCTTGTAGATGACTTTAAAGGCGGAGGCTATAGAGATAGGGTGATCATTTTCGACCAGATGTTCTATGATCGCGCTTCTTATTGCTCCACTTCCACCTTTTCGTAGCCATGCAGGATAATGTTCTTGCACCCTCTTGGACAAAACTCGAGTCGAACGACCGATATACCTAGCTCCACAAGAGCAGGTGAATTGATAAACGCACATAGAGTTGGTCAACATTGGGATCTTGTCCTTCAGGTTATTGAACAATAATGGTCGGCTAGTAAAAGCTATTCTCAGAGAGGCAGCAGGGAATGTTCTTTTCAGGGACTGTGATATCCTTCGTTTCATGATATCGGAAGCTAAGTCCCCTTTGAATTCTAAGCTCATGTAAAGTATTTTCTTGGGAGCGGTTGATAAGTCACGTTTTGTAGGCTTTGAATGTATATTCTTATCTATAAAACGTGGTGGAAATCCATTTTCCATTAGGATTTTCCTCAAAGTGTATAACTCATCTTCCACAGTATCAGTGCTACATATGCGCCGAATACGAGTGGCAAGCGACCGGACCAGGTTTCGTTTTCGACCAATAGGTACCCAGCTATAGAAATTTGTCAGTTGACCATTCCATAACAGCCTACGATAAATCGATCTCTTCAGAGTTCCATCGGTCCTTCTTGATAAGTTCACATCGAGGAAATGAATGCTAGACTCGTTCTCCATTTCGAGTGTGAATTTTATCGCAGGATGGCACTCATTAAATACACTTAATATATTATTCAGGTTACAATCAATATTACAAATAATAAAGGTGTCATCTACATACCTTTTATATATTTGAAAGCTTTGGATCATAGGCTTCAGGGAACCATTTTCTAGACTGGACATAAAAACGTCTGCAAGGAGAGGACCCAAGGGAGAACCCATCGCAATACCATCCTTCTGCCTGTAGATTGTTTCATTGAAAGTAAACTGTACATTCAATGTACATCTCAAAAGTAGTTCTTTAAGATCTGTAGTAGGTATCCCTATGTTCAATTTGTTGTCTTCAATATATTTGCATATAAAACATATGGTCTCTGTCAGTGGAACGTTCGTAAATAAGGATTCTACATCCAAAGACAACATTTGTTTATTCGACGCATTTATATCCTGTATACATTCAACAAATTGGAAGGTGTCCCGAAGGGAATGATTAGATAGTTGCCCCCTGACTGGTTCGAGGATTTCAGCTAACCACCCAGCTACTGGATGATAGGGCGATCCAGACATATCCAAGATAGGGCGAAGTGGAACTCCAGCTTTGTGTATTTTCGGTAGACCATACAGTCTTGGTATTAGAGATCCTGTTGGTCTGATCTTTTCGTATAATTCTTCACGAATGAGATGATTGTTCTTCATTCTCTTTAAAGTATCGGTAAGTTGTTTCTCAATTAATTCCGTCTTGTTTTTCTCGTTCGGTTTCGAGAATTTACTGCTGTCTGAAAGTAGACATGACATTTTATCGATATAATCTTTGCGATCCATAATAACAACACCTGTACCCTTGTCAGGGCGTGTTAATAGTATATCGCTGTTATGCGTCAAAAGTTTAAGTTCTTCTTTGTGCTGTTTAGTAAGAAGACTTTGCATTTTTAGTCTAGCATTAAGGTATTGATTGCAGGAGTCCGTAATGGTAGATTTGAAGCATTGGAAATCCTGGTCTGACGATGGTGTGAGATCATAGGTTTGACTGAGTAAATTCTCAAACTGGACATGAGTATGTAGCTTGTTGATATTGAGATTAACATCGCAAAACTTCGAGCCCATAGACAAGGCTTCCATTTGTAATTTCGATAAAGATATAGAGGAGTGGTTGAACACGTACCTCTCAGAATTCTCAGGAAATTTTCGAAGACATTCGATAGGTTTTAGGCTATTAGATAGCTTTGAATTAAAAGACATAGTTTGTTTGTTGGTGACCACATTGACATAATCATTAAACGTCTGACGTTCATCAACCGATAAGTCATATAGAGCAGAAGATCTTTGTGATATATTCCTTTCTAGCTCAGGGATACGTGAACTGATAGAATCAATGTGATTTAATGCGTGTCTCTTGAGAGATTTTGCATTAGGATATATGTGATTGCGTCGGAGCACTTTCCAATACCATTTCGGACACTCATGATTATTGATGCATTCATTAAGAAAACAAATCTCTGCATTCACCACGGCAAGTTTGACAGAATAACGCAGGAACCCGTTGAGTTCGTTTACTGTCGAGGATCTTTGCAATTTTTTAAATCATGGAAAATTCCCATTGTAACATTTAGAAAATCAGTTGTTTTGATGATGCATC